ATGCCGCGACCCTTTAATACAGTTCCTCTGTGGTGGTGACCCCCAACCATAAAATTATTTTCGTTGCTACTTCATCACTGTAATGTTGCTACTGTGATGAATCGTCATGTAAATATCTGATAGGCAGGATGTATTTTCATTGTTACAAATTGAACACAATTAAAGCATAGCGATTAATCAGAGGAACTTGGCGTCCGCGTGGCAACCTCTCCGCTGCCGGAGGAAGGGTGGGTCGGCCGCGCCGGCGGGGAGGCCAGGATCCGCACCCCTTCCAGCATCAGAGTGTGGACAGGCCCCCAGGGTGGGCAGGCCTCCCCACAGTAAGGGCCGCGCGGCGCCTCGGGCACACTCCGCGGGAAAAACGACCACCGTTCCCTCCCCGGGGCCGGCCGGCTGGGGGGGCGCTTCGGGCTTCTCAGATCCACCCCCTTCGACCCCCACCTCAGTCTATTCCCAGAAAAAAAACAACACACACGGTTGGGTTTCCGCTCCCGCCCGCAGTCTGCCTTCACGGCTCCGACCCTACTGCTCCAAGCCTGGGGCTGGCAGCCCAGCGACCACCTCTCTGGCTGCGTGGACCGGTCATTTCACAGGATGACGCCGAGAGAGCCTGGGAGGCAGCCCGCCCGGGCTCCTGAACTCCCGCAGCCCTTGGCGCCCCAGCTCTCCCAGCAGCCCCCCCAGGTCCCTTCACGGACAGCTGCCTCTCCACACCAGCTGCAGCAAGTCCCGACAAGACGGATCCTGGTCCGCACTACAAGCCGGAGGGCCTCCCTCAAGTCGCCTGCTAACAGGGTGGTGGCACTTACCTCACGTGGAGCCAAACCTCCCCCTGAGGCGGGGTGGATGCTGAGTGGGGGCAAAAGGAGGACCCCAGGCCCTCTCTCACACCCCAATCATTCCATCTAGAGAGAGCCAAACCCACCAGTTTCCATGGTAAAAGGCTGCAATCTCGTCTAAGGACCAGTGTGGTTTTCGTTGCACCCGGGGAAGTTGCATAAAGAAAATGAACTCTCTCTCTCTCTCTCTCTCTCTCTCTCTCTCTCTCTCTCTCTCTCTCTCTCTCACACACACACACACACATAGACCAAGGGAGGGAGGCAGGGAGTGTGGTTAGCAGGTCTCAAAACATCTTCCCCATTTTTAGCAGTTATCTGAAGGACAGGGTTATCTCACTCCCACCCCACCCCACTGCGCACGCACTCACACACAAATGTACCACATCAGCATATTCCGAAGGGAAGGGACCAAGGGATTGTTTGCAGAAACGTGAGAATGTGTAGACACCTTCCCCAACTGCCCGTCCTCCAGTGAGGGACTCTGCAGCCAGCGGGGAGAGGCAGCCCCAGTTCTGGCACAGAAAGCAGTTAACTTTTGGGGGCTCTGAGAACCTCCCCTAATAGCCACTTTTCTGGCCTCTGGTGGTGAAAGTCTATTTGCAAGGCCCCGGAGCCTGGGAACCAGGCTGTGTCCTTTGCCCATGCACACCCTCTCTTTGGGCCTCTGTGTGCTCATCTGTACATCAAGGAGGTGGAGCCCCAAAATTCCTAGGGTCACTCCTAGCTCTGATGCTTATGAGCGTCTGTGTCTCAGCACAGTGACAGAAGGCAGGAAGATGTCTTGGTCCTGGGCTGACTCCAGTGAAGTCACCCATTCATTCCATGTGCCACCGTGGAGGACACTGCCGAAGACCATTGTGGGGTCAATGAGGTGGGGGCAGGGCTGCAGGGGACCTGAGGTCTAAGGTGCAGGTGGTGTCTGTATAGTGTTCCCAGGACCAGGAAGACAGGCTCGCTCCTTGGTGTCTTGGATGACCTCCAGTGAGCACTTTCTCAGGAGCTCAGAGTCGCTCCAGGCAATGGGAACTAGGCCGTCCGGCCCCAAAGGCAAGGGGCAAAGATGAGGGAGGTGCCTGCTCCTGTGGCTGGAAGGCTGAGGTTTGCAACTTAGAGAGACTGCCTGGCCCACCTGTGGCTACATTCTTAGAACTATGGATGGTGGCACCCAGTCCAGGTCAGCTTCCAGTCTCAGTCAGGCACTTGGGGCAAGGCCCCAGAGCGGAGGGAAAGGGGCCCCAGATGAAAGCGCCGAATCCTAGCCACTAGGACCACCAGGGACTCAAGAGGCCCCAGATGAGCCCCCACTTCTCCTGCCCTCAACTGGAACCCGATTTCTATTTTTCAGGCTTGGGCTTGAGCACAAAACGAATGCAGCAGAGAGGGGCGACACGGGGAAGGGGCGTGCAGGACGGAGAGAGCCCTGGGGAAGGGGCCAGGCACCCACACCCACATCTGGAGTCTTTGTTTTCCGTTACACGTAGGTACACACAACCCCGGGGCTCCAGGGGGTGGGGTAGGGAGCCCCGCTGCCCCCGCTTCACACGCTGAAAATCGAAACCAGGTCGGTCTTGAAAGGAGACCTAGATCAACGCGCCACTCACGGGAGCAAGACCCCGGAGGTGGGAGAGCAGCCGCGCACTTACCTGCCTCCCGCTCCTGCAGAGAGGGCGCCGCGGGCTGCTGGCAGGGCAGGTGGGCGTCTGCGGGCGTCGTCGGCCCGGCGGTGTAAGGGGAGGGCAGGAGGTGACCGTAGGGCCCAGAGTAGGGCAAATCCGAGGCGCCTGCGGTTGCGGGGGACAAGCCTAGTGGGTAGGCAGCCACTACGGATGGGACGGGGGCGATATCCGGGAAGACGGCGTTGGAGGCGTCCAGGCCAGGGAGGGGGCAGGGCACCGAGGACATTGCGGCCGGGCCGGGGCAGAAGGGCCTAAGCCATGACCCCGCACGCAGCCCGCTCTCTCTGCCAACTCTCTCTTTTCCGAGCCTCGGGCGTTGAGGCCCAGTGAGCCCCCCGGCTAGCCTCCCCCACACTCAAGACCCCGGGAAAGTGTCTCTGCGCCTCATCCAGCGGAGTGCGCGCCTGGGAAAGGGGTTCCGGGGTTGCCCCCATGGCTTTTCCCCTCCCCCTAAGTCCATGAGGGCCCCCCTCTTCTCGCTCTTGGGTTCGGTTCCCGGGACCCGACAGGGGCCCCGCCCACTTAGACGCCCCGGATTGGCCACCGCACGCGGTGACTTCACGGGAGGCCCGGGGCCAGGGTCCGCCCCCCGGGGCAGCCCAAGGTAGGAAAATTCGGAACTGGGGCTGCGAGGGGGGCGGTGCACATGCTCTGGGCCCAGCTATCCTGGGGTCCTCTCCGGAGAGCTGCCGGGGTGGCAGGGCGATTGGGGCAGGCTGGGAACTTTATGGTCGTGAAGGCAGAAACAGAGGGTGCTGGCGGGGCCGCGATGCCCAAGGGGCGAGGGGAGCTGCTCGGCGCCGGAGCGCGCGTCGGGGGGGCGCAGGGAGCCTGGGCAGGCTCTCCCACCTTCGGGATCGGACCCACGGACCTGCAGGGAAGTGGAGAGCAGACCGCCAGCGCCGTCAGCTTATTCAACGCGTCGGAATGCGTCGCTGCGGAGCGCCGGCAGCTTGTTGGTAAACAGACGCCGGGTCGGGGGAGGAACCGCCTGGCGCCCAGCCGCCCGGCACGCACGCGGCGCGCACGCCCCCGCTGGGTGCCCTGGGCCTGGCACTCCTCGACCCGCGGCTACTGCGCCCCACCACTCCCCCACCCGCCCAGTCCTGGCTTCCGCTTCCGGCAGTGGCCCCACTTGGTTGCTACACCCCAGCTCCTGCTGGCCCCTGAGGGACCCACAGTCTGGGCTTCCGCCCCTGTGACGTCCCAACTGTCCCCTGGCGCCCCTTGCACGAACTGGGACAAAATCCGGGAGTGGGAGGCTAGTCCAGTTTGATGGCTCCTCTGAGGGCGTAGGAAAGGCAGCAGGCCCGGTTGGTGGCCGCATTTTCAGTCTGTGTGCGGGACCTGCCTCTAAACATTAGTGCCCAGTACCTTGGCGGACAAGTGTCCACGTGCAAGCATCTGTGACCACAGGTACACACCTCAGACACTCCATCCAGATACAATATATACACTCGCAGCTGCCCATCAACTGGTGTCTAAGTGATGTCCACATGAGCATCCCTCTAAGAATAGAGAGGTTCCTTCATGGATCTGCACATACAGAGTATAGGCTGTGATGTATACACAGCCACATACCCAAAGATGAATAGCAATATCCCTGAATGAAAAGCACAATACTTGTCTCTTACACAGACCACGACTATACATGCCGAATTGCCAGTGTGTACCCTTGAAAATCCAAGCATGTAAGACCATAGGTACGTGTACCTACCATATGTCCACACACCTCTAAGCTACTTCCTGTTGGAGGAGAGACAGATACAGCCCCAAATCCGTATACACACCTCTCACTTGAGTCTGCAACTCAAGCAGGCGTGTTCATGTTGGCACAGACACACGCACTCTCATTGTCCGGGCTCAGCGTGAAGACAGCAGCCTTAGAATTGGGTGGGGAAATGCAGTGATCAGAGAGAGAGGGAAGCTTAGAGAAAGCACTGGGAGTGGCCGGGCTCCGGTCTCTTTAGACAGAAAGATCAAAGGGGTGTGTGTGGGGAATGGAGGGCTGACCCCCACCTCCAATCAGGTGTCCCTGGGGTAGGAAGAGCAAGTCAGTTTCAATCTGGACGCCCCACTAGAATGGATTGAGAGGAGGTTTTCCAAGACAACACATCTGTGGCAACTGGCACCTGAATGCTGGAGCCTCGAGAAGGAGCTCTCTGTGGGAGCCCTTCCGCTGCGTGGCTGGAGAAGCCACCCCCCGTTTATCCATCAGGGTATGCAGGGTTCGCTGGATTGAGACATGTTGTTTTCACAGAGGACCACCTTTCCCCTTTCCTACCCAACGCTGCCATTCCTCCACCTCCTTAGAACGGAAGCTGGAACTTGCAAGGATCTATTCTTACAAACCTTCCATTCTGCCACCAGCATCTTCCCCGGGAGGGAGGCAGCCACAGGACAGTGCCTGGAGCTATGGCGGGTTCCAGGGACAGCTTCCAAGGCAGGGAATGCTCTTTGGAGTCGGGTAGGCTGTCAGGGGAGGTTTCCCAAAGGATGTGCTTTGGAGGTGGAACTGAAAGGGTGGGTGGAATGACACTTCCTCCCGGAGCCCTGTACCCCGAGTCCTTTCTGTGCTGGACGGAGCAAGAGAGGGCAGGCAGGTTTTCCAGCAGGCCTCTGTCCTAGGCACCCCCCACAGTCAGGAGGCCCGTAGTGAGAGCCTCTTTAAATTGGGGGGCGGGGCGGGGAAGGCTTGCTCAACTCATGCAGGATCCTCACCCCCCTGCGCCAGGAGGAAACACCCTGCAGCCCTTTCGAATTCCTGAAATTCACAGCATCCTATCCTTGCACAGCTTTACAAAAAAAAGGAGTGACGTGTACTATTATTATCCCGTTTACAAATGAGGAACCCGCTCTCTCCATCATCGCCTCACTTTTCAGGGTTCCCTCTTCTGAACCCAGGGGCACCTGACTGGGAAACCTGTCCCCAAGAGAGAAATCCTCCCTGGGCAGGTGCCACATCGCACCCACCTGGGGAAGCGGGGAGTCAGGAAAGGGGCAAGGGGTGGGGGCGGGGGCTAGGACGAGCTGTAAATGTGTCTGACCAGAGGGGAGGGAGGGCTGGCCCAGAGGCCTGAGGCCTGGGTTCCCATTCCAGCTCAAACTCCAACTTCCTGGCTTGAGGGACTGGGTGGCTGGTCAGCCATCTCCCAACTCTGAAACTCACTTTATCCAGAAGGGATAAGAAAGGGGGGCGCTGTACCCGAGGCCTCCACGCTTTTGTCATTTGCTTTAGAGTGAGTCGCAAAAACCAAAATCCCCAAACATAATGAAACCGAGAAGGAGCGGGAGGGAGGGAGGCAGGAAAAACAAAAATGAGCTCTGCCCTGTCACTACCAATATCTCAGCCTCTCGCGGAAGCGGCCCTCCCAGCCTTCCTCCCGGGAGCCCCACACTAAGTGAGGCCCTGGGAGCGAGGGCGGAGTCCGGAGTGGGGGACACCGCGTCGCCGGGGCGTTGGGGTGTCGGGAGTCACCTCAGGAGTGGCGGCCGGACCTGAGACCCGCGTGGTGCACAGTGGGTTGCAGGTTCTTTGCGAGTCGCCTGGCAAATACAATCCTACCCGATTGATCAATCGATCGATAGATCGGAAACGATGCTTTGCGCAGAATAAGCATCCGTGGCGGTGGGATGTCTGCCTTGTTGGAAGCCACCCCAGGTGCGGACTCTCTCTGGAAGCGGGGACTCCATCCGAACTAGGGCCCTTTCCCGTTGTCCTAACACGTGGTGGGTGCGCAGGGCTCTCGCGCGGCCCCGGGGCTCGGTACCGGGAGGCCGGCCAGCCCTGAGCAAAGGCTCGGCGTCAGCTACCGAGGCGGCTCCAGGGTGTGCTCAGGGTGCAGACCACCCACGTCGCACCTGGACGGGTCGGTCCAGGCGAACGGAGATTCCACCGCGACCCCAGGACTCGGGCTCGCGGCCACGGCGGGCTTATCCGCTCCCTTTCTTGTCCGACCCACCCGCAGTCCCCAAACGAAATCTGAGCTTAGTTTTGTCTGTTCTCAGTGGAACTGAAGTCCGATTTGGCGGGGCTTTCGTAGTAACTCGGTTGGGGAAACGTTGTGAATAATTCGGTTTGGTGGGGGTGGCGGGGGGAAGGAATTCTCCCTCCGCTGGGCTGGGTGCGCGGAGGTTAAAGCCCCCCCAGTCCCCGAGGCCCGGGGAAGGGCAGTTCGTAGAGGCCGGCGGCCCCCCACCCCGCGCCCTCGCCCCCCACCCTCGCCTCGGTTCACTTTTCCCGAGAGTGTGAACTGTCGCGGTTCTTTTCTCCTTTCAGGTGGAGCCGATGCTGAGCGCACGCAGG